AAGAGCAAAATTAACACACCATACGGCCTACTTTCGAATCAAACGAGCACACTAACCAGGCTACATGATGTGTCACATATTCTACGGCAATCGAATCGATTCTTGCAATTATTTCTGAATGTCAGTACTCACTGCTGCGCCTAATTTATTTACAGTTTCACAAAGAAACAGTGTTTTTTTTTTTGCTTCTACGCTATATTTATTTTGATAGAAAAGAGGAGTGAACAAAAAATCTTGAGTATTTCTTCTTCAACGGAATTTTTCAAGTCGAGCGGTTCCATGCAGCCGTTTCCATTCATTTCTTCGTGGACGAACTCGTCGATGGGTTTGGAGTGGCACTGATTGATGAGTCAGATGCATTGCCTTGGCTAGCAATGAACTTTTGGATTAGTTCCCTAAAAATGAAAAAAAGACATTTCTTTAAGTACCTCGCGAAATAACATGCAATTATAAAGCCGAAAATAGGGAAAAAAATTATTACTTCGATGATGTTAACAGCGTCATTTGTGTTTTTAATGTTCGCTCTAATGCAAAGATTTTTGCTAATGTGTGCTTCTCATCGCCTTCAATCACAGTGTATATCTTTCGGATAAATTTGCAATACTCTTTAATGAATACGTCAGTCACTTCATCGGTATTTAGATTTTGTGTTGTTGATTCGTCGGCCAAACATCCTTTGTACGGAGATTTCTTTTCAACTTCTTCAAGCCCATCAACACTGCTATTTTTATACAGCTCCATCTTATCATTTAAACTTTTTCGAGCGGATTCCAATTGTTCGATACCATTGTTCAACGAGGCCAACACCATGTCCAAATCTTCTTTTTTTAGATTCATTTTTCTTACGCTAAAAAAGTACAGATTAATATTCTAGGAGAATTGAATGCTGATATAAGTATTTTAAATGACTTACGCAATGAATGCACAAAGAGTGTGAATTGAAGCAACGGCATTTTGAAATGAATTTATTGTTGGCCCCGTTGGTGACGGCTTTTTTACTCTTTTTGATGTATCCGATTCTTCCGAGTCCGATTCAAATAATCGTTTTTTTGCAGACATTTCAATAAAAAAATTCCAACAAATTGGGAGTTTTTGGTTTATAGTGATGATTGACTTGATTTGAGCGTCTCGAAGCTTCTATGGTATAGTTTTATGTTAAGATTATGTTTGACAGTTCTCTGTATAAACAGAAAAATGATGAGTATGATAAAATGGTGAAAATACTGGGCAATGCAATGCTTCTGAATATCATTATTATTTAAAATAAAATTGAATAAACAATTCACAATAAGTGGTTTTTTCAATTTCTCAATTCTAAAATTCCGAAGAAAAGTGTTGCCGAATAATGAACCATCATGATGCATCTTTTGAGACTGTTTCGTGAGACAAACTTTTGGTTCCGCGGGCCCAAATGTAGAAATTCACCTCATACACAATCAACATACACACGAACACATTGGTTTGACAGTTGGATTAGTCAAACAAATGACAACTCACCAAGTATTCAAAACAAATCCCACTGAATAGACGGAATCACACCGAATCATAATATTTTGTTTACAAAAATGTGTGACACTATTGAAAACGATGGTAATTGTGATTTTATTATTTTAACTATTTTCAATTTCGATGAAATGCAATTTACTCAATTAATTTGAACTCATTGGTTGTCGTTTGCTTTTATAGAGTTTTACCAGAAATTTTTAAAGTCGAATGATTCGAATGAGACCAGTGTGATTTCGACGAGTCTAGCAATCAATGAACAAATTCGCAAGCTAAACGATGGCGTTGATTTATTGGCCAAGCAATTACAAACTCAGGTTCGTGAACAGCACAAATCATTGCTATTGGAGGCACAAAACGCGAGTAAATTATCGGCCGCCGTTGATTTGGTTAATCATCATATGAATCAATTGGAAATTGGTGCTGAACGACTTAAGAG